AACTATTACTATCTTATTTACAAGTCTGAGTTTCATGGATTGTCGAAGGAAAAGTAATCCTCTAGACAAGTAAAACAGCTAGACAACAAAACTATCGCTCACATACCCTCTCAGTTGATGTAGATGTGGGGAGTACCCATAGGTACAGATTTGATTATTGCCGTCTGCGGATCACGTCTGATAGAGCCATCCACCTCAACCATCACCTTGCTAACCTCCACTTTGACGACAATGAACTCGGCGGGAGAAAGTTCCAGCGGTATAGTCGACTCGATGCGATCTTATCGGAAATATGACCCGCCTCTGATCTTCGCGACCAGGGTTACGAAGTCCGGAACTGCTAGCGTCAGAGAGTTGATGTCATCTTGAATGCACTTGCTCACATGCCGCATGGGTTGCCTCGATCAGGCCGTACACGCGCCATCTCCCATCCACGAGCTGAATGATCACGTAGTCGTACTTCTCATCACATAGTCTTGTATATCTAAACCTTGGATGGAGATATTGGGGAGGTGCACCTCCCCGAGCTGACAGGATAACTTTGATGCTGATATTCTACATAGCGTCTCTATAGCTGCCAGATGGGTGAGCGGTTTCACTTGACTTGCAATTCTCGCCAATGATTAGCAGACGGCTGTCGGGCCAAACTAAAGCTGGTGAAGGTTAAATCTACTGTCGTCATTATAGTTGTTTTGATACTGCTCGCTGGCAGTTCTCCATCAAGTTGATGGACGATTTGTAAGTAGTGCTCGAGATGATCCTTTGTAAGGATGTGGACTTGTAAAGCTGTTACATCCCGCTCTAAATCGTCACTACACAGGAAAAAGAAAACAAAAAGCGAAGTCCGGAACTGCAGAGAGAGTCTATGCGTTACTGGTTATGAATTGATGATCGCGCCCCTTGCAACTACAACATCACAAAGTAATATTCACTTACCAGGAACAGATGAAGAAGGATCTGCCATCACAAACATTCCTCCTGTGGTTCTTGCTTTTCAGATGATCTTGGAGGGGCTTCAGCCCTACAAAGTTACGGAGCATGATTTGCAAGAGAAATACATTTTCCTTCGAAAGATCTGCATCCACAAACATTCTTCATGTGCTTCCCGCTCCGCAGGTGGTCTTGGAGGGGCTTCACCCCCACCAAAGTTACTCCGCACGATTTGCATGAGAAGTACATTATGACTTGTATGATGAGTAATATAAAATCAACAAACTAGTTTTCATTATGGGTTGTATATTCTTATCATCTAGAGGGATCTTCTAATACATTTGGAGGCGATTTCAACATCTTCGATTCATCTCCAACCCCACGCGAAGCTCCCATTGCAACTACAACATCACAAAGTAATATTCACTTACCACGAACAGATGAAGAAAGATCTACCACCACAAACATTCCTCCTGTGGTGGGCACTCTTGAGATGGTCTTCCAGGGGTTTGAGGCCCACCAGAGTCACCGCACATGACTTGCACGAGAAGTACATTGTGATGAGTTGAAAGAGGCTGTTGAACTTGGCTCCAACCCATTTTATGATCGGTGATTCCGTTATCCAAACTGGGTTGATGACGTAGTATTCACTTACCAGGAACAGATGAAGAAGGATCTGCATCCACCGACATTCTTCATATGTTTCCTGCTTCGCAGGTGATCCAAAAGGGGCTTCAGCCACACCAAAGTTACGGAGCATGATTTGCAAGAGGAATTCATTTTCCTTCGATGAGTTGAAAGATGCTGTTGAACTTGGCTCCAACCCATTTTATGATCGGCGATTCCGTTATCCAAACTGGGTTGATGACGTAGTATTCACTTACCAGGAACAGATGAAGAAGGATCTGCATCCACCGACATTCTTCATATGTTTCCTGCTTCGCATTTGATCTTGGAGGGGCTTCAGCCACACCAAAGTTACGGGAGCATGATTTGCAAGAGAAATACATTTTCCTTCGATGAGTTGAAAGAGGCTGTTGAACTTGGCTCCAGCCCATTTTATGATCGGTGATTCCGTTATCCAAACTGGGTTGATGACAGTTGATGGGGTGTTCTGATGCGGGCACGCGCGCATTGGTGGCTGATGAATATGGGGAACGCACATCATGCGATGTTTCCGCGGTTTTATAAAACTTGCAGACAGTTTGCGTATGTTGTGCGTACAGATGTCAGTTGGCAGTGAGTGCAAGCTCCAACGTTAGGAGTAGTGACCTTATTTCCTTCAACTGTTTTTTTAACGAAGATTCGGCAGCTAGGGTGGGGGGGGATAAGTATTCATTTACTTATTGGAGAATCGTTCGAATGAAGCCTGAATGAATGAATAATATGGTTTTTCCTGATTGTGCTATTGTGTTTTAAGGTTGGTTGCAACATGATAGGAACGTGGACAGTTGTTTGCTGCACTGGAAAATCTCTGTACGGAGAAGAACATGCTGGCCAGCCATGTCTTGCTGAAACGACGGTAGGTATATCTATACGACGTGTGCATGCGTGCGCGCGTGTGTGTATACATGTGTGCCAGCTAGTTCGGTTGGTGGGTACACTTATGCCAGATAGTATTGGGCCTGTTGCCAACCGGCTCGGCTGCTTGAAGGTGTATTGTTGTACCTACCACCTTTGTTGATTTCAGGGTTCATATACTTTCTCTTTGATGGATACATACCTGTTAACCATGCACTGCTTCTGGCTAGATTAACTCTTGTGTAATCAATGGTGCTAGTGAAGCTTTTATCAGATCCACTCTGATTTAGCCACTCACTCTAGTAGCAAGTATTACGTTCACTGGGGGCAGGGGTACCTGCAGTTGGATCCCGGGACAGAAAACCCTGATGCCGTCAATCCTTTTTCTGCACCTTGTCCTCACCCACTTACTGAGGTGTGGTGAGCCCATAAGTGGGATCATTTTCAAGTCCACCCGGAGTTTTGGGGATTTCGGAGGGTGTCGGCCATTGGGCGGTTCAATAGCCAATAGAATGACTTGCACAAAGATTGTCTGGGTTCGAGACGGGGCAAGTGGACCTTCTGACTCTGACTTCCTCACCTTTTGAGTTCGTGACTTTCGCTTTTTGCCTGACGAACAATGGGCTAGTTTTTTGGCTAGAGAGTAGAGTTGTTTTGATTCGGCTTGTATCGTCATGCCGAAGCGCTGCTACGCTCCTGAATGCACTAGCAGACGAGAAATGGAACTGAGGCTCCCATTCCATACGTTCCTTTTCGAGCCGGCCGGCCGGGAGGCAGAAAAAATGAGGGAATATTATTTTAGTATCATTGGTGTAGGCTGCAACAAGCACGTCGTGGTCCTGAAGTGTGACTACTTTCCCGCAGTGGAAGCGAAGTCAAGCACGACGAAAGTTTGTGGACGTCTGAGAAAGAACTCGATTCCCTTTGATTCGGCTGCACTAGCTCCAGAGCGTAATTATGTCCACGCCATATCATACACAGACTGTATGGAAGAGCTCCTGAGGAGAGGCCAGGAACCAGCCGAGTCACGAGTGGCAACCCAAACCACGAAAGTGATGGGTGGAAGGACTGAGTGTGATAGCCAGATGGCCTTTAGTAATGCTTCAGGTAGTATCTGAGTTGAAGGAGAGAACAAGTGTGCTGGAGAAACGCTGCGAAGTCCTCAGGCCTGATGTGTACTTGCTACTGACTCTGAGCAGCTGTATCTAGACTTGGACTTAGGCCAGAGACCTAGTATCGTAAACCTTACTGAAGCCATATGTACCCAATGCCTGGCTCTAGTGAGAAAGCAGTTTGGCGCAGGCTCGCAAACTATGATTGAATCAGGGAGTGGTGGAAAAAAGTCACATTATACCTCTCCATGATTAGCTGGTCATGACGATGATGCGTCTCCGGCAAGGTCTCATGGGAAAGTAACTATTACCTGCATACCTGTTTAGTTGCAACGAGGCAACGGTACCCCATGTACTGAAGACATGATTGAACTACATTTTATCTCCTCCTGGGAGAAGGTGGAATACGAGGAATACACATCATGTGGTGTTTCTGTTGATTTCCAACAACCTCCAGACAGTTCGCGTATGTTGTGTGTACATTATGCGTACTATGGAGTCCAATCCTACCAGCCCACTTCGTCAGCTCTTGCCTCCCTCTCAAGCCCCCCGACCAGCCCATGTTCGACACACTTGTCTCTCTCTCTCTCGTCCGTCTCGACATGCATAACTACCAGCTTGAGACAGGGCTACCTACCAATAGCCGGGAAAGTTGCCGTAGAGCTTTCCCCGCCTGTGCTGTCCCTGTGTGGAATGCCCTGCCACCCGCCGTCCTCAGCCAGCCACCTGACCAGAAACGGCTGCAAAGTTTCAAAGTGTCTGTCTTCCGGCACCTCCGTGCCGAGCAATGCCACTGAGCCACTCTCTCTCTCTATGTCTATGTCTCTCTCTCTCTCTGTCTTTCTTTCTCTGCTATTGGCACGCCTGGTTGTGATGAAGCCGAGACCCAAGGTCGGCAGAGTATCCCAGACCACGCCACCACTCCCCTTATTCATGGCGGGTTTACGTGGCTCTAGTAAAATTACATGTCTGTGCTATAATTATGATCTGAGAAGTTGTAAAAGATGTACGATGTATGCAACAGCTGCAGGTATGGGCGCGATCATCAATTCATAACCAGTAACGCATAGACTCTGTTCTTCACACATGTCATTATATCACCTTGTTTTTTGCTTTCTTTTTCCTGTGTAGTGACGATTTGGAGCAGGATTTCGCGGCGTCCACATCCTATCAAAGGATCATCTAGAGCACTACTTTAATTTCTTACTTTTTAGACGGGATCCATGGACTATAACACAATAACTTTTTTTTAGAAAACTGCCATAAAGCAGTTTTTATTGCTATAATAAAAAGTGCGGATGACCCCGGTTGGTCCATATGTTATAGTCTTTTGGCCGCTGAGTCGACTGGTTCTGGTCAATATAACTATTATAATAACCTACAATTCCGTGCTGCCGTATAAAGAGTGTGATCAAGTAGTAGTAGAGTACAGTACAGTAGTTCCAGTAAGATACCCATATATAGACGGCGTAGGTGAGACAACATTGGCGCCCAACGACGTGGGGCTCGAACCCACGACCCTGAGATTAAGAGCCTCATGCTCTACCGACTGTACTGCCCGACTAGCTGCCCAGCTGATGAATCTCCCACCGCTCCATTTCCCTGCGTAAGTACCCAAGCTTAAGTTTGTCCATATCGCTTCTTTTATTCAGCGGGTGAATTCGTATCGTTCTCTTGTTTGGGGATTGGTGTTCATTCCTTGGCAGAAAAAAATTAACGAATTTATCACTATTTAAGAGTACATGAAAACCAGAGTGTGCAGCTCGAATGGGTTGCTGTTACGGCGAAATTCCGTGCGTACAAGCAGGATTCAAGCAGGTCTCTTTCTGCACAACTGCAGCTCAGTTGTACGCACTACGCCATTTCCCGCCTCAGATCTGCACCAAAATGATGTAATCACGGATTTAAGCCGTGACAGACACCCATAGCAGAGAAGGCCCCAAGCTGCACACTCTGGTTTTCATGTACTCTTGCTATTAGTATTAGCCTTACTACTGCTCTTGTCCTAAGTACCTCTTTGCCTTAATTAAATTAAAGCGTACCTTGCCCTTTGTTTTTACGTGGTGTTTCCGGGGAAGTACCTTTCCCCGTGTCCTTTTCAATCTCCCGGTGCAACGTTCCTCAAATTTTCGGTTGCAAATATGACGGCCATGGTTCTTGGATTAGTCCCCGCCCTTTCTTTTGCAAAGAAAATGAAGACTTTGAGGCGTTTCTCCTTGACTTTGATATGGCATGTGATGCCAATGGGTGGATCAATAGTACTCCCCTGGCTAGACCAATTCGGCCATCCCCGGTTACCCGAGGGGAGACCACTGCAGATGGGCCACCTGAGTTATTTTCAACCCCTGATTCTGCTCGGCAGGGTGCAAACCCCTTTCTGAATACCATGTACTCTGTGCCGGAAATACCCACCCCGGTTCTCCAGTCGGAAGAGAAAGGGTACATGCCCACCTCTAGTTGGAAGGGTGATGGTATGGCTAGTGAAGCCGAGTGGCATGATATGGCTAAAAAGACGCATAGCAAGCTGCTCCTGTTAAAACGTTCTCTTCGAGATAGCGCATCGCGCTTTTTATTAAGCTTATCCTTGGTCGAGACGAATGACTACTGCAGAGGCAGAAAATTTCGCCGGTGAATAATTTCGTCCAACTCCAAAGAAAAGGAGTTCGTCCGGTTCAAAATTTCGTCCATGGATCATAAGAGTGTATAGAAAAGCTGGGCAAATCGACATTAGTCCTACATTTAATTTAGTCCAAAAGCTCCTTGGACGAAAAAGACGAAATTAAATTCCAGACGAATATTTCTGCTTATACAGTACCATATTCTTCGCCAAGTTTTGATTGAAAGGTACATACCAGCTGAAGCTCAGTATGTCCGAAGAGCGCAGCTGCGTACTAGACACCGCCAAAATGGGGAGTCTCTGTCTACCCTGGCAGATGACATCTGCCTTTTGACGGCTCGAGCCTATCCTACAGTCCATTCATTGGAAACTGGCACCATAACTTTTTGGTGTCTCTCTCACATAGTTGTAGATATCGTGAAAACAACAGTACATCCTGCATTGTGTGACCCGTGCAATTACTCCTTGCCACATTTGAGGCCAGAAAAGTCCAAGAACAGGGAAATAGAAATTCAGCCAGGTTTTAAAAATTAGGACAGGTATGCCATGAGATTTAAAGTGGGTTTTTGATCCTCAATTCAGCCCAAATCCGACTTTCAAAAGCCAGCGGGCCAGTTTCCGATGAATGGACTGTAGAGCAGGTGAAATGGAACGAGATGACTACGCCATTGAGTCTTTTATCCAGGCGTTGGGGAGTCACTCCGCATGAGGGTCCGTGATAGTCAGCCTAGGACCATGCATGACGCTTTTTCGCCGAGCCCTCTATTTGGAGGCTCACTCTTTTGCGGATGCCTCTGCTAAACATGATGAGTACAAAGTTGCAGTGTCCTCTGTACGGGATGACCGCCGATGTTCTATTAAAAGCAGTGCAGATAAAGATGGACCGGACATGTTGACCCGTCTCTGTTTGGCAGTAGAGAAATTAAAAACCCGCATATCTAACTCCACCACCACTAACAGTAGAAGTAGCAATAGTGACCACCCAGACCATCAAGGGCAGTCAACATTTACTAATCGTAAGAGTAAGTATGAGGGTACTTATGATAATCCCCCTTCTGGTCGTCCTTATGACTCCAACCCACCCCCCGAGCTTTGTCCGGGGCCCCCGTTCATCAATCAATCGTGACCCTCCTCCCCGTAATTTTGACCAGGTAGACTACAAAACTATCGCTCACATATCCTTCAATGGTGGGAGGATTGGTTGCTGATTATGAATTTTGGTTTATGCATTACGAAGAACTAAAACAGCTCAACCAATTCAAAACTATTACTATCTTATTTACAAGTCTGAGTTTCATGGATCTTCGAAGGAAAAGTAATCCTCTAGACAAGAAAAACAGCTAGACAACAAAACTATCGCTCACATACCCTCACAGTTGATGTAGATGTGGGGAGTACCCATAGGTACAGATTTGATTATTGCCGTCTGCGGATCACGTCTGATAGAGCCATCCACCTCAACCATCACCTTGCTAACCTCCACTTTGACGACGATGAACTCGGCGGGAGAAAGTTCCAGCGGTATAGTCGACTCTTTTCGGAAATATGACCCGCCTCTGATCTTCGCGACCAGGGTTACGAAGTCCGGAACTGCTAGCGTCAGAGAGTTGATGTCATCTTGAATGCACTTGCTCACATCTCTAACACATGCCGCATGGGTTGCCTCGGTCAGGCCGTACACGCGCCATCTCCCATCCACGAGCTGAATGATCACGTAGTCGTACTTCTCATCACATAGTCTTGTATATCTAAACCTTGGATGGAGATATTGGGGAGGTGCACCTCCCCGAGCTGACAGGATAACTTTGATGCTGATATTCTACATAGCGTCTCTATAGCTGCCAGATGGGTGAGCGGTTTCACTTGACTTGCAATTCTCGCCAATGATTAGCAGACGGCTGTCGGGCCAAACTAAAGCTGGTGAAGGTTAAATCTACTGTCGTCATTATAGTTGTTTTGATACTGCTCGCTGGCAGTTCTCCATCAAGTTGATGGACGATTTGTAAGTAGTGCTCGAGATGATCCTTTGTAAGGATGTGGACTTGTAAAGCTGTTACATCCCGCTCTAAATCGTCACTACACAGGAAAAAGAAAACAAAAAACGAAGTCCGGAACTGCAGAGAGAGTCTATGCGTTACTGGTTATGAATTGATGATCGCGCCCCTTGCAACTACAACATCACAAAGTAATATTCACTTACCAAGAACAGATGAAGAAAGATCTACCACCACAAACATTCCTCCTGTGGTGGGCACTCTTGAGATGGTCTTCCAGGGGTTTGAGGCCCACCAAAGTCACCGCACATGACTTGCACGAGAAGTACATTGTGATGAGTTGAAAGAGGCTGTTGAACTTGGCTCCAACCCATTTTATGATCGGTGATTCCGTTATCCAAACTGGGTTGATGACGTAGTATTACCAGGAACAGATGAAGAAGGATCTGCATCCACCGACATTCTTCATATGTTTCCTGCTTCGCAGGTGATCTAAAAGGGGCTTCAGCCACACCAAAGTTACGGAGCATGATTTGCAAGAGGAATTCATTTTCCTTCGATGAGTTGAAAGATGCTGTTGAACTTGGCTCCAACCCATTTTATGATCGGCGATTCCGTTATCCAAACTGGGTTGATGACGTAGTATTCACTTACCAGGAACAGATGAAGAAGGATCTGCATCCACCGACATTCTTCATATGTTTCCTGCTTCGCATTTGATCTTGGAGGGGCTTCAGCCACACCAAAGTTACGGGAGCATGATTTGCAAGAGAAATACATTTTCCTTCGATGAGTTGAAAGAGGCTGTTGAACTTGGCTCCAGCCCATTTTATGATCGGTGATTCCGTTATCCAAACTGGGTTGATGACAGTTGATGGGGTGTTCTGATGCGGGCACGCGCGCATTGGTGGCTGATGAATATGGGGAACGCACATCATGCGATGTTTCCGCGGTTTTATAAAACTTGCAGACAGTTTGCGTATGTTGTGCGTACAGATGTCAGTTGGCAGTGAGTGCAAGCTCCAACGTTAGGAGTAGTGACCTTATTTCCTTCAACTGTTTTTTTAACGAAGATTCGGCAGCTAGGGTGGGGGGGATATTCGATGAGTTGAAAGAGGCTGTTGAACTTGGCTCCAGCCCATTTTATGATCGGTGATTCCGTTATCCAAACTGGGTTGATGACAGTTGATGGGGTGTTCTGATGCGGGCACGCGCGCATTGGTGGCTGATGAATATGGGGAACGCACATCATGCGATGTTTCCGCGGTTTTATAAAACTTGCAGACAGTTTGCGTATGTTGTGCGTACAGATGTCAGTTGGCAGTGAGTGCAAGCTCCAACGTTAGGAGTAGTGACCTTATTTCCTTCAACTGTTTTTTTAACGAAGATTCGGCAGCTAGGGTGGGGGGGATAAGTATTCATTTACTTATTGGAGAATCGTTCGAATGAAGCCTGAATGAATGAATAATATGGTTTTTCCTGATTGTGCTATTGTGTTTTAAGGTTGGTTGCAACATGATAGGAACGTGGACAGTTGTTTGCTGCACTGGAAAATCTCTGTACGGAGAAGAACATGCTGGCCAGCCATGTCTTGCTGAAACGACGGTAGGTATATCTATACGACGTGTGCATGCGTGCGCGCGTGTGTGTGTGTATACATGTGTGCCAGCTAGTTCGGTTGGTGGGTACACTTATGCCAGATAGTATTGGGCCTGTTGCCAACGGGCTCGGCTGCTTGAAGGTGTATTGTTATACCTACCACCTTTGTTGGTTTCAGGGCTCATATACTTTCTATTTGAAGGATACATACCTGTTAACCATGCACTGCTTCTGGCTAGACTAACTCTTGTGTAATCAATGGTGCTAGTGAAGCTTTTATCAGATCCACTCTGATTTAGCCACTCACTCTAGTAGCAAGTATTACGTTCACTGGGGGCAGGGGTACCTGCAGTTGGATCCCGGGACAGAAAACCCTGATGCCGTCAATCCTTTTTCTGCACCTTGTCCTCACCCACTTACTGAGGTGTGGTGAGCCCATAAGTGGGATCATTTTCAAGTCCACCCAGAGTTTTGGGGATTTCGGAGGGTGTCGGCCGTTGGGCGGTTCAATAGCCAATAGAATGACTTGCACAAAGATTGTCTGGGTTCGAGACGGGGCAAGTGGACCTTCTGACTCTGACTTCCTCACCTTTTGAGTTCGTGACTTTCGCTTTTTGCCTGACGAACAATGGGCTAGTTTTTTGGCTAGAGAGTAGAGTTGTTTTGATTCGGCTTGTATCGACATGCCGAAGCGCTTCTGCGCTCCTGAATGCACTAGCAGACGAGAGAATCTGATGTAACTGAGGCTCCCATTCCATACGTTCCTTTCCGAGCCGGCCGTCCGGGAGGCAGAAAAATGAGGGAATATTATTTTAGTATCCTTGGTGTAGGCTGCAGCAAGCACGTCGTGGTCCTGAAGTGTGACTACTTTCCCGCAGTGGAAGCACAACGAAAGTTTGTGGACGTCTGAGAAAGAACTCGATTCCCTTTGATTCGGCTGCACTAGCTCCAGAGCGACTCTCTCCTGAGGACAGACTGCGGAGAGGCCAGGAACCTGCCGAGTCACGAGTGGAAGCCCAAACCACGAAAGTGATGGGTGGAAGGACTGAGTGTGATAGCCAGATGGCCTTTAGTAATGCTTCAAGTAGTATCTGAGTTGAAGGAGAGAACAAGTGTGCTGGAGAAACGCTGCGAAGTCCTCAGGCCTGATGTGTACTAGCTACTGTTGAAGTCTCACTTGTTCCGATATGAACATTTCATCAGCCCTGACTCTGAGCAGCTGTATCTAGACTTGGACTTAGGCCAGAGACCTAGCATCGTAAACCTTACTGAAGCCATATGTACCCAATGCCTGGCTCTAGTGAGAAAGCAGTTTGGCGCAGGCTCGCAAACTATGATTGAATCAGGGAGTGGTGGAAAGTCACATTATACCTCTCCATGATTAGCTGGTAATGACGATGATGCGTCTCCGGCTGGGTCTCATGGGAAAGTAACTATTACTTGCGTATACCTGTTTAGTTGCAACGAGGCAACGGTACCCCATGTACTGAAGACATGATTGAACTACATTTTATCTCCTCCTGGGAGAAGGTGGAATACGAGGAATACACATTATGTGGTGTTTCCGTTGATTTCCAACAACTTCCAGACAGTTCGCGTATGTTGTGTGTACATTATGCGTACTATGGAGTCCAATCCTACCAGCCCACTTCGTCAGCTCTTGCCTTCCTCTCAAGCCCCCCGACCAGCCCATGTTCGACCCACTCGTCTCTCTCTAGTCCGTCTCGACATGCATAACTACCAGCTTGAGACAGGGCTACCTGTCAATGGCCGGGAAAGTTGCTGTAGAGCTTTCCCCGCCTGTGCTGTCCCTGTGTGGAATGCCCTGCAACCCGCCGTCCTCAGCCAGCCACCTGACCAGAAACGGCTGCAAAGTTTCAAAGTGTCTGTCTTCCGGCACCTCCGTGCCCAGCAATGGCACTGGGCCACTCTCTCTCTATGTCTCTCTCTCTCTCTATATATATATATATATAGATTGAGTATTTCGCTCCTGCTCTTGTAGCAGTTGAGCACTCTTGCGTGGGGTAGTGCCTTTGCTGTTTGCGTTATGCAGAGCTCACTGACTTGTCAGTTTGAGCACTCTGGCAAGGTACGTTCGGGCCTGATTGGAAATTTTTATTTCCATTGCTATCAGGTTCGGCCTCATTTTCTCTGTGCTGCGCTGATGAGTTCAAAAAGAACGAAACAGCATGCTGTCCGCAGATTGAGTATTTCGCTCCTGCTCTTGTAGCAGTTGAGCACTCTTGCGTGGGGTAGTGCCTTTGCTGTTTGCGTTATGCAGAGCTCACTGACTTGTCAGTTTGAGCACTCTGGCAAGGTACGTTCGGGCCTGATTGGAAATTTTTATTTCCATTGCTATCAGGTTCGGCCTCATTTTCTCTGTGCTGCGCTGATGAGTTCAAAAAGAACGAAACAGCATGCTGTCCGCAGATTGAGTATTTCGCTCCTGCTCTTGTAGCAGTTGAGCACTCTTGCGTGGGGTAGTGCCTTTGCTGTTTGCGTTATGCAGAGCTCACTGACTTGTCAGTTTGAGCACTCTGGCAAGGTACGTTCGGGCCTGATTGGAAATTTTTATTTCCATTGCTATCAGGTTCGGCCTCATTTTCTCTGTGCTGCGCTGATGAGTTCAAAAAGAACGAAACAGCATGCTGTCCGCAGATTGAGTATATATATATATATATATATATTCTGTCCGCAGATTGAGTATATATTATATATATACACTCAGACACAAAGGATCTCCAAGTTTCTCAGTGTTGCTACTCTGAGTTTCGTGCAAAAGCACTCTTCAGGCAACTTACTCTTCTCTCACATCAGTATCCCTTTACATACCAGAAAAGACGAAAAGAAGCACCCTAGGTGGGAATCACAGGTGGAGAAAAGAAGCACGCTAGCCAGTCTAGGTGGGAATCACAGGTGAAGATAAATGTGGCAAGTGTGGTAGTGTGAGCAATCGCGCAGGCCGGGTGGTGTGCATAAAGTGAAGTAGGATGCATGCACATTAGATAGCAGGAGTTCTGTATATGTGTAACAGATAGCAAGCGCAGTCTACAGTTCAGGTCACCTCCGATAGGAGGTACTTGGTGCTGTGGCGACATTTTGTGACCAGGCTGCATCTGGTGTTGAGGAGCGATGCCTTGTCACTCTTCATTATGGCGATCTTCTCCGATAGGCATAGGTTGCACCGCTTCGAGGTTCTTTTGTAGGCGCTGGATCTCTGCCTGATTCTCCACGAGATGTTGACGTCTTCACCTGCCTCCTTCAATGCCCATGCATGCTTTGACAATTCTGTGCTGTTTCTGTGTGGGGCATTCCGGAACGATGACATGTGGTTGTTGAACCGGAGTTTGAACGGGGTTTCGGAGATGCCGATATACTTCTTCCGGCTGAGATTGGAGTCCACTGTAGCTTCGTACACTATCTCGCTGGCGTTGCAGTCCCCGTTGAGTGGGCAGTTTCCTTTGATACGGCAGTTACATCTCTTTTCTTCTGGCTGTCTGAGGACTTTCGCGTTGTGGCCCTTTATTATTGAGGCTAAGTTAGGCGAACAGCTGTAGCTGACTTTGATCGTGTTTTTGTTAAATATTTTTCTGAGGGCAGATCCTTCTGGGAAATGGCGCTTGACAAGTCTCAGGAATGTCGCGCCAACATCAGTCTTCACGGATTGGCTGTACGGTGGGTTAAACCAAATGATGGTCCTCTTCCGATTCTTTTTCCTCCTGGCTTGTCCTTCTGTGTTCGCCGGTTCCTCGTTATAGACGAGTGCGTAGTTGAAGCCACTTTTTGAGAGAGCTGCAGCGTACGTGGGGGCAGCCTCTTCAAAGACTTCTTGATTGGCAGAGACGCTCGTTAGGCGCTTGTTGATGGACTGCGGCAGGTTTTTGATTACTATTGGAGGATGGTTAGACTCACGGTTGAGGTAGAGGGGCGTGTCCCCGGGCTTGCGGTATGGCTTGTAGGTGCCTGTTTCGAGGTTTAGAGTGACGTCTAGGAAGTCGGTTACTTTTCTGTTGACATCGATTGTTATTTTCAGGCCGAGTGATTGGAACATGCCGATGATGTTCTTCCGTATCTTGTCTGCTCTCCAACCCGGCACTCTCCTTAGGGTAGCTAGGCCATCATCACGGTACAATCCGATTGATGGCTTGTCGATGTAGCTTGCCAGCTTGTTCAGGAGTAATGCGCCTACCAGCTGGCAGACCTCAGCTCCGTCGTAAGACCCCATGGTTACGTCAAATCCGTTAGCGTTGTCCTTTTTTACCCATGTTTTTGATGCGTCAAATAGCAGAGATCTCCTCGCGTGCATAATGATGTCTACGTCGCTCTTGCTGACGTTGGTGTATTGCCCCGCAAATCTCAGTGCTTGGCGGAGGAGGTCTTCTGTAATTGACGGGTAGTAGCTGACGATGTCGAAGCACACGAAGGTTCTCTCATTTTTGTCGTCCAATCCTCGGAACCAATCTAGAACCGATGCTGTGTTTTTCCATAGCTGGATGTCAGTCGCTTTGGTGACCTCAGTTGTGATCCTGTCCAATATTGTTTTGCTGATGATGCCCATCTCGGCCTTTGCTGGGTTGATTAACCTGCATGGCAGATCGTTGGCGAATCTGTCTTTATGATCCTTGAAGGTCAGGAATGCTTGAGACTCTGCCATCGTGTCCATGCGGTCATCCAGCGGCTTCTCCATGTTTTGTGCGATGCTCTTTGCCTCTCTGTTGATGTCCTTATACATTGCTGCCGGGGCTGTTTTGTATGCCTTCGTGACATTGTCCTTCAGTAGCTTGTTGTACCGCTCGCGCGATACCTCGTACAAGTTGCTGGTTTTGTCGGCTTTGACAATGACTTTGTCGGATTTTGAAATGGCCCGGGCTTTTTCCCTCAGGTCGTTTTGAAAGGGCCCATTTACACGCCTGAATTTTACGTTCTCCATCATTTTCACTAGGTCATCCTCGAACGCCTTCATTTCAGCGACGTGGGGCGGTGAGTTCCTGCTCTTGAATCCGAAGCAGTTATCTGGCGCGTTGCTCCCACCTTGTCCGTTTAAGAGGAAGAACGCCTTCCATCTCATATAGACGCTCCTCTTTTGTTGAGCACTCTCCCTTGCCAACGCATACGCGACACTATGGACGAACCAAGACGAATGAATATTGACTGTTCACTGAAGAATATCCCGATACCGCCGGACGACGTCTATCGGAAGGACCTGCTAGCCAAGGTGGAATCAGTTGTTAGACGCATGAGATGGAAGGCGTTCTTCCTCTTAAACGGACAAGGTGGGAGCAACGCGCCAGATAACTGCTTCGGATTCAAGAGCAGGAACTCACCGCCCCACGTCGCTGAAATGAAGGCGTTCGAGGATGACCTAGTGAAAATGATGGAGAACGTAAAATTCAGGCGTGTAAATGGGCCCTTTCAAAACGACCTGAGGGAAAAAGCCCGGGCCATTTCAAAATCCGACAAAGTCATTGTCAAAGCCGACAAAACCAGCAACTTGTACGAGGTATCGCGCGAGCGGTACAACAAGCTACTGAAGGACAATGTCACGAAGGCATACAAAACAGCCCCGGCAGCAATGTATAAGGACATCAACAGAGAGGCAAAGAGCATCGCACAAAACATGGAGAAGCCGCTGGATGACCGCATGGACACGATGGCAGAGTCTCAAGCATTCCTGACCTTCAAGGATCATAAAGACAGATTCGCCAACGATCTGCCATGCAGGTTAATCAACCCAGCAAAGGCCGAGATGGGCATCATCAGCAAAACAATATTGGACAGGATCACAACTGAGGTCACCAAAGCGACTGACATCCAGCTATGGAAAAACACAGCATCGGTTCTAGATTGGTTCCGAGGATTGGACGACAAAAATGAGAGAACCTTCGTGTGCTTCGACATCGTCAGCTACTACCCGTCAATTACAGAAGACCTCCTCCGCCAAGCACTGAGATTTGCGGGGCAATACACCAACGTCAGCAAGAGCGACGTAGACATCATTATGCACGCGAGGAGATCTCTGCTATTTGACGCATCAAAAACATGGGTAAAAAAGGACAACGCTAACGGATTTGACGTAACCATGGGGTCTTACGACGGAGCTGAGGTCTGCCAGCTGGTAGGCGCATTACTCCTGAACAAGCTGGCAAGCTACATCGACAAGCCATCAATCGGATTGTACCGTGATGATGGCCTAGCTACCCTAAGGAGAGTGCCGGGTTGGAGAGCAGACAAGATACGGAAGAACATCATCGGCATGTTCCAATCACTCGGCCTGAAAATAACAATCGATGTCAACAGAAAAGTAACCGACTTCCTAGACGTCACTCTAAACCTCGAAACAGGCACCTACAAGCCATACCGCAAGCCCGGGGACACGCCCCTCTACCTCAACCGTGAGTCTAACCATCCTCCAATAGTAATCAAAAACCTGCCGCAGTCCATCAACAAGCGCCTAACGAGCGTCTCTGCCAATCAAGAAGTCTTTGAAGAGGCTGCCCCCACGTACGCTGCAGCTCTCTCAAAAAGTGGCTTCAACTACGCACTCGTCTATAACGAGGAACCGGCGAACACAGAAGGACAAGCCAGGAGGAAAAAGAATCGGAAGAGGACCATCATTTGGTTTAACCCACCGTACAGCCAATCCGTGAAGACTGATGTTGGCGCGACATTCCTGAGACTTGTCAAGCGCCATTTCCCAGAAGGATCTGCCCTCAGAAAAATATTTAACAAAAACACGATCAAAGTCAGCTACAGCTGTTCGCCTAACTTAGCCTCAATAATAAAGGGCCACAACGCGAAAGTCCTCAGACAGCCAGAAGAAAAGAGATGTAACTGCCGTATCAAAGGAAACTGCCCACTCAACGGGGACTGCAACGCCAGCGAGATAGTGTACGAAGCTACAGTGGACTCCAATCTCAGCCGGAAGAAGTATATCGGCATCTCCGAAACCCCGTTCAAACTCCGGTTCAACAACCACATGTCATCGTTCCGGAATGCCCCACACAGAAACAGCACAGAATTGTCAAAGCATGCATGGGCATTGAAGGAGGCAGGTGAAGACGTCAACATCTCGTGGAGAATCAGGCAGAGATCCAGCGCCTACAAAAGAACCTCGAAGCGGTGCAACCTATGCCTATCGGAGAAGATCGCCATAATGAAGAGTGACAAGGCATCGCTCCTCAACACCAGATGCAGCCTGGTCACAAAATGTCGCCACAGCACCAAGTACCTCCTATCGGAGGTGACCTGAACTGTAGACTGCGCTTGCTATCTGTTACACATATACAGAACTCCTGCTATCTAATGTGCATGCATCCTACTTCACTTTATGCACACCACCCGGCCTGCGCGATTGCTCACACTACCACACTTGCCACATTTATCTTCACCTGTGATTCCCACCTAGACTGGCTAGCGTGCTTCTTTTCTCCACCTGTGATTCCCACCTAGGGTGCTTCTTTTCGTCTTTTCTGGTATGTAAAGGGATACTGATGTGAGAGAAGAGTAAGTTGCCTGAAGAGTGCTTTTGCACGAAACTCAGAGTAGCAACACTGAGAAACTTGGAGATCCTTTGTGTCTGAGTGTATAACCCCGCTCTGTCTTAGGACATTGAGCACTTTTTGCCGACGCAAGAAATACTTCTATTGTTCTATATATATATATATATATATATTATATATGCCTTTGCTGTTTGCGTTATGCAGAGCTCACTGACTTGTCAGTTTGAGCACTCTGGCAAGGTACGTTCGGACCTGATTGGAAATTTTCATTTCCATTGCTATCAGGTTCGGCCTCATTTCCTCTGTGCTGCGCTGACGAGTCCACAAAGGACGAAACAGTTCTGTCCGCAGATTGAGTATTTCGCTCCTGCTCTTGTAGCAGTTGAGCACTCTTGCGTGGGGTAGTGCCTTTGCTGTTTGCGTTATGCAGAGCTCACTGACTTGTCAGTTTGAGCACTCTGGCAAGGTACGTTCGGACCTGATTGGAAATTTTCATTTCCATTGCTATCAGGTTCGGCCTCATTTCCTCTGTGCTGCGCTGACGAGTCCACAAAGGACGAAACAGTTCTGTCCGCAGATTGAGTATTTCGCTCCTGCTCTTGTAGCAGTTGAGCACTCTTGCGTGGGGTAGTGCCTTTGCTGTTTGCGTTATGCAGAGCTCACTGACTTGTCAGTTTGAGCACTCTGGCAAGGTACGTTCGGACCTGATTGGAAATTTTCATTTCCATTGCTATCAGGTTCGGCCTCATTTCCTCTGTGCTGCGCTGACGAGTCCACAAAGGACGAAACAGTTCTGTCCGCAGATTGAGTATTTCGCTCCTGCTCTTGTAGCAGTTGAGCACTCTTGCGTGGGGTAGTGCCTTTGCTGTTTGCGTTATGCAGAGCTCACTGACTTGTCAGTTTGAGCACTCTGGCAAGGTACGTTCGGACCTGATTGGAAATTTTCATTTCCATTGCTATCAGGTTCGGCCTCATTTCCTCTGTGCTGCGCTGACGAGTCCACAAAGGACGAAACAGTTCTGTCCGCAGATTGAGTATATATATATATTATATATATATGTCTCTCTATGTCTCTCTATGTCTCTCTCTCTCTCTCTCTCTCTCTCTCTCTCTCTCTCTCTCTCTCTCTCTATGTCTCTCTCTATGTCTTTCTCTCTCTGCTATTGGCGCGCCTGGTTGTGATGAAGCCGAGACCCAAGGTCGGCAGAGCATCCCAGACCACGCCACCACTCCCCTTATTCATGGCGGGTTTACGTGGCTCTAGTAAAAAAATTACATGTCTGTGCTATAATTATGATCTGAGAAGTTGTAAAAGATGTACGATGTACGCAACAGCTGCAGGTATGGGCGCGATCATCAATTCATAACCAGTAACGCATAGACTCTGTTCTTTCCACATGTCATTATATCACCTCTTTGTTTTTTGTTTTCTTTTTTTCTGTGTAGTGACGATTTGGAGCGGGATTTCCTATCAAAGGATCATCTAGAGCACTAATTACAAAATGTCCATCAACTTGATGGAGAACTGCCAGCGAGCAGTATCAAAACAACTATAATGACGACAGTAGATTTAATAAATAAAATTGTAAATTATTTATGACTTTGCTTTACAACCGTAGATATGTGTGTTTGTGCGAAAGGGAGTATTTTTGGGATGGTGAATACCAAGAGTTCATGTACTCTTGTGAATACATGTTAGCATACTAGCTGCTCTCACTGAACTGAAAGGGCTGCATCTTCTGACTTGCTCACGATATCCTTGGTGTGATGGAGTCTGAAGCGGGATTCACAGAAGTTTTTTTGCGGTGCGACAGGCGCGAAACCCCAAATCGCAGCCATGTCGCACTCCACGCAACTGGGCCATCGCAGGCCATCGCAGAAGTTGAGCTTGGCTCAACTTTTGCGATGCGATGCGATGCGACAAGCGATTTGGTATACGATTTTGACCTTTTCTACAGCAAAGTTGTACAAAGGTTCAAGAGTTTCCTATAAATTTGTACAAGTTGTATCAGACCGCACGAATTTCATGGTGACGTAGCCAAATCAGCAAGATGTTGTCGCATCACCATGATCACTGACTTCTTCTGTGAATGTTTTCCCCGAGTTCGCATCGCACGTGTCCGTCGCAGATCGCGTGTCGCATCGCAAAAAAGCTTCTGTGAATCCCGCTTTATGTGACTGATATTTTGCGTAGATGCAATTTCATTGAACAGAGCAGCAGCGAACATCTGACAGTTGCTTGTTATCAGGTCGTAATTGTCCTTGACGAGGTGTGAATTATAGAGGAAATCCACAATATCCAGTAGACTGAGATTCGATTTGTCTGTAACAATCTCCTCTAATATAATGGATTTTTAATCAGTACCGCCGGAAGCAGCTTTTGATTGGTCCGGTAGTTTCATGGCCCTTTATACTTTGTGTGTGATATGGCGGGTACACACGTCCTCCACGGGAGGAAACGTTTGTTGGTGGCCAACAAGTTGGTCTGGTGATAACCAGACCGGCGGGCCTGATAATTGTGGGGCTCATGAGCAGCTCAAGTACTTAGTATGGTTTTGGACATGTCCCCAGTTAACCAATGAGAATAACCGGAAAACAAGGGGGGCTTTAGATACCGGGCTGACTTAACAATAGGTAGGATAAGCTCGTTACGGGTTGAGCTTGTCGAAAACCAATTGTACTTCATTATGTGTGAAGGGGTTTTATGAAGAAATATTTTATGAACCAGTGTGCAGAGATGGTGCTTATGACGAAAGGAGAGAGGAGAAGTGTGTGAAAGTCGATAAAGGGCATCCGAAGGAACACATCGATCCTTGTAAAGAATATTAAGTATAAATCTATGGTTGAAACCTACTTCCCCAAGCGTTTTCTGTTTTAAGTATAAATCTATGGTTGAACCCTACTTCCCCAAGCGTTCTCTGAGGGGACCGAGGTCTACTCTATCAGTTCATGTATTCTGTGAAGTGACATGACCATTCGTGGGGACCTTGCTCATAACTGCAAAAGTCCTCGTCTGATTGTTCCGCATCAATTGAACGTTATACATGTGCATGTAGTGAAAGCCACATGCAAAAGGCTGTTCCATGGCACTCATCTGCCACCGGTGCACCAAGCTCTGGGTTCATTGGCTGAAAATATTCTTCGGCACAGTAAAGTCGTGCGCCCAAGAACGTGGAAGCCTACAGAACATCCAACCGGGAATACTAAGAACACCACAGCCCAAAATTAAGAATTGCGGTGTAGGTTTGTGCTGTTGTCAAACACCGGAATTGTTATGTTGCACATGTATCTGAGCTTTACCACTACATACACGTCTGTCTTTACACAATTACCAATCTGCAGACAGCATGCTGTTTCGTCCTTTAGTTGTTAATGGACTCATCAATGCAGCACAGAGAAAATGAGGCAGATGAATGTCTTAGGCTAGAGAGCATCAAATACAGGTATAGAATCATGCCTTGCAGATCTCGTTACGGCCCCTTCGATGCATGTCTGAACATTAGATGGCTGTGTAGCTTCAGTTATCTCAGAATATGTACTATTTATCCAGCAGCAACAACGTTGGGCACACAACTATTCACTATAATGAGTATGCGTTGGAACACTTTACCCCGAGTCATACTATAGCAGTGTATGCCATGCATGGGTTTACCTCACACACTGAATTTCATAATTTGACATCCAAATCACAGAAGAGTGGTGTTCCAAACTTTACGTAATTGCACTCCATGTCCTGCGAGCTACAGTAGAATACTTCAATAGAAAACTTCTTATAGCACGTTCTTAGAAACAAATCGTATAGGTTCGAGGCTGTCAACCCAGAAATTTGTGATTTCACAGCCATAGATGTTACCAGTCAGGTCACTGTATACAGTAGGTATGCAGAAGAAAATACTAGTAACTCTTTGTGGAAGAGCTGTGCCAAAATGTGTACAGTACAGTAAATTAATAAAAAGTGAGAAAAGCAGTGACAAGGCTGTGCATGATGTAGATCTACTCGTACCAGTAAGTACAGTGCACCAGTGAAATTGTTGGTGTAGTACCGGTATACTACTTCGAAGTACTATAATTATGGCATGGCCCATGCCACTACAATCTATTTGCAGTGGGCCGCAGTAGGCCAGTGCAACAGAAAGCATTTCAGTAGCTGTGTGCAATGTGAACATCTATGACATACAAGTAAACTGCCATATAGCACAATCGATTACTCTCAGCCCACATAAGTACAATGTAGGCCAATCAGTAGTATAGATACATAGAGCACACTCTACATCATACATAGTCGGCACCAAATCTATGTTGTCGATGTACTTTGCAATGATGAAATGATGGCAAGCGTGCTTGATTCATCATAATAATTGCCTTGTACTTGGTTGGAAGTTAGTTGTAAGTTCAGTGGTCGAGGTAAGCAGAGCTGCTCCAGCTTTCAGAATCCTGCATGAAAAAGGCAGAAAGCAAATGTAGGTATAATAGTAGCAAGCTGATGTAAAGAGCCTGTCTTTCAATGCAATAATTCTATCCACTGCATGGACAGACCTGGTGCTTCATTCAACTCTGTTTCTTGCTTTCTCAGGAAACAGCCATCTAGCTCATGATATACATTTTCTTTATGCCTTTTCAGCCGTGGTCGACTTTCGCCCCTCCTGTTTGATTGGCAATTGCAGTCAACCTGGGGAATACTGACCCTCGATTGTGAATGAGAAAGGTGTCGCTATTCGCATTGTTGTTACTCGTGAGGTTGGAAGTATGCAATCAAATGTTCACTAGATCTGAAGATTGTGTCGTTATTTGCGAGTTGTTTTGTAAACCCGAGGTAGATTATTCACAAGGTTGATTGTACATGCTATGGGATGTACAATAACTAACCAAACAATAATGGTGTAACAATGATTTGAGTCCATATCCAATTGGATGAACCTAGAGTGCATGATCCATTCCAGAAAGGCGACTTCAGTGAGTCTTGAATTGTCAGCAGCATCATACTTCCATCGAGCTTTTTTTCTTTTCGAAACGACCCTCTCTTTTCAATTCGAACGAAGGTCAACATACGATTATGGCAGGCATGCATGCACTGATCTTCACTGTATACATGTGCATGTATACTGTACTGTAGTCTGTACAGTCAACTAGTCGTGTTCCACTTGGCTTACGGTAAGTATCACTACAAGTGCATAGTAGCCCCCCCCCCCCCCCCCCGGGAGTGCGCGTGAACGGCAACTGTGAACTGGTAAAAGAATTATTCGACACCTTGATTCGTTTCGATGGAGAAGGTTCATCTGGCAAATTCTGGCCCCTGGCCCCAGGAGCGAAATTTTCACTCCTTGGCTGACTGTTTGAGCCGTCCTTGTGGAAGGGTTGATTTATGCATGCCCGCATATACATGTAGACCTTATTCAATAAACGTCACAATCACGTGAACCAGGGTCCAGGGAACCAGGGACCGGCAAGAGACCTGCACTCAGTGCACAGTGGACTCGGCGTGGGAACATAGGAGTAGAAAAATACCGGTATTCTACTACTCCCTTGTACGAACTGGGCCTTTCTTGCCACTCGTTTCACGTACGCGTGCCCCAGATTACAACAAATCCCTGGAGGCGAGTCCAAAAATCACGTTATCGAATAAGGTCTATAGAAACACAGATCACGTAGAACTACCCAATCCGGGGTCAAAACTCACGTTTTGGGTACTTAGGTCTCATGTCGTCTCCCCAGGTGCTATGAATCCCTGATGCACATGTATCTACATATACAATGTAACCGTAACTCTACCAATATTGCGGACGATGACCCCCCCCCCCCCCCGGCAAACAGAAAGTCGCTATGTCCTGGCCGAGTTTATCTTTTAATTAAATGGTTTTCTCGGTTGGGATTTTATACCTGACAACCATCCCGATTTGGCCGGGACCGTCCCGATATCGAGGGCGGTAATAGGCACCCAAAATTGCACTAGTTCCATGCCTCACCGCGAGCTACATTTGTATACATTTTCATGCCTAGGTATGTCATTGGATCTCAGGTTTGCAAAGGTTGGCAGGTATGGGATTTGTAGAGTGACCAGTTTTGACTATTGCCACCTGCTTTGCAGAAGTGTCATTCCTACATCCTGGCTGCAAACGTACCCCCCCCCCCCCCCCCCACACACACACCACCACCAATAATGTTCGATCCTATTTACAGGACCTCACTCTATATGAAAGTGTAGCAGAGGCACTGCCAAAGTATAAAAAACAGCATTTTAAATGCAAGCTGCATTGTGCATGCATGGAGGGCATGGGGAAGAGACTGAGGGCATGTTCGATTGGTAAGGATCGGGATCGGGATCCAAATCTCAGATCCGTCGGATCCTTCAGAGTCCACTGGACACTTTTTTGGGCCTTGACTGTTGCCATGTTGACGAAAGTAATAAAAGTCGTACTCCCGGCGCCAGTTACAAAAAGTCAGCAAGCTCTATCTCGATCCACGTGGCGTGCCACAATGTGTACAAAAACGATTTTAAAGGCCGATTCACAATACAACTTTCTGCGACGCGACACGCGATTTG